ACAGGCTCAGGCCACTGTCCGAACTCTGCAAACTACCATGGAAAGTAGGGAGAAGGAATTGCAAGAGCTGAGGGCGCAGATGCTCAAGGTCCTTAAGACGGTCGATCCCGACGTTGTTGTCCCGCCTCAAGCAGACGGCACAAACGAGGGCGTGCTTAGCAAGAACTTCGATCTGGTTAGGAAAGTCGAGGATCTCCAGCAGAACCTTCGGGTCCAGACGGCTGCTAGAACGAATGCCGAGGCCCAGTTGGCTGAGCTGCGCTCTTCTCGCATGGAATCTCCCATGAGGCCCAAGCTGGAAGAGATCAGCCCTAACGAGGCCCCTTTCAATGGCTCGCCCACCTTCAGGCGATCCAAGATGCAGAACCGTCAGTACTCGAACAACTCGACACCCACCCGCCGTTTCGAGCCTGAGAATATGGACTCAGCTCGCTCTGACAAGACTGCGGATATCCTGAGCTTCAACAACCGCATGGATCTCAAGGCCGAGGTTGAGGAATTGCAAAACCAGCTTCAAATTGCTGAGATGCAGAATCGACACCTCCAAAGCCAGATCGACCGCGGTTCTTCGCCCCCAGAAGAATTCGACGAGAACTCATCTGTTCTTCGAGTGCAAAAGTTGGAGAAGGTCAACAGCCGCCTGCACGACATGCTGGACGACTCTGCAAGGAAAGTGTCGGCTCTGGAGCGGAGCGTAAGGACTGGCGAGTTGTCCCTGCGTGATATTCAGACCCGATCGCACGAAGAGATCCTGGACGCGCTCAACAGCCAAGAAGAGGCGCGTCGCTCACTTCTGCATAGCCACAGGGATGCCATCTCGGAGCTTTCGGACGTCAAGAACCATTTCGAACGGATGCGCCACGACCGAGCTGCCCTTGAAGTCGAGCTTCGGGACACCACATCCGAACTCGAGGAAATGAGCCTGGCTCGCGAGCAAGAGGCTGCCAGCCGCAGTCAGCTCTTGCAGGACTTCTCTGATCTGCAGATTCAACTCGACAACCAGACTTCCAAACTCGCCGACGTTGGGTCCAGCTTGAACTTGTACAAGAGTCGTGCTGATGAGTATTTCAGTAAACTGGAGCAAGCCGAGATTGCTGTTCTGAAGGCCAACCGAGCGGAGTTGTTTGCCAAGACTCAGGCTAAGGAGGCCGAGGAGACGTACGCTGAAGTCATGTCCGAGAGAGAAAAGATGGACGCCACCATTGAGGACCTTCAACGTCAGAACCAGAGGCTTGAAGAGAAGCTCGAGGATGTTTCCACCGATCTGGATGCCGCAAGCCAAGCTAAGAAGCGCCTTCAGCACGAGCTCGAGGACTACAGGAACCAGAGGGCCAACGATATCGAGGACAAGGAAACCAGCATGGAGCAAACACGCAAGAAGTACCAAGCCGAGTTCGCCACATTGACCAAGGAGCTTGATCTGGCCCGCGAGGAGAAACTCTTCAAGCAAGCCGAGATTGCTCGCTTGCGAGAGGAGCTTGATGAGCTCCGCTCTAAGTGGGACGACGAAGTTCTCAACAGCTCGACCTGGTCCAAGGAAAAGGCCCGCCTGGAGTCAACTCTGGCTGATGTCGTCTCATCACGCGATGAGGCGGTCAACGCCCACAGCGAGGCCCAAGGCAAGGTCGTGACTTTGCTTTCCCAGGTTCGGTCTCTCCGCGCCTCTGTGGACGAAGTCACTTCTGAGCGAGATCTTCTTGTCCGGGAGAAGCGCAGCATCGAGGCTCGCCTTGAGGAAGCCAAGGCTGGCCTGGAAGACCTCACCAACGGCGACAGCGCATCACTCCGCGACGCCGCCAACCTGGACAAGGAAATGTTGGAGTTGAAGTCCAGCCTGGCCCAGCATGAAGATATTGCAGCTGCTGCAGTGGAGAAGATGAGACGCGCCGAGGCACTGGCTGCGGAAATGCAGAAGGAGGCCATGGTTGAGCGCGAGGCCAGCACACAGCTCCAGAAGGTTAAGGCCACCCTGGAGAAGTCTTTGAACGAGATTCAGATCAAGTTGGTCGACCTCGAGACCAAGGGCTACTCAAGTGCCAGCCAAGATATCAAGTTCCTGCACAAGCGCATCCAAGAGGTAAGAATAGCCAACCACAAAGCAAGCTTCTCGTACAGTCAGTCATTAACAGCATCAATCAGCTTGAGTCCCAGCTTGAGGAGCATGAGAATGAGAAGAACAAGTCTCAGCGCTCGGTTCGCAATGTTGACCGGATCGTCAAGGACCTCCAAGGTCAGATCGACCGCAAGGACAAGCAGAACACACAGCTGCAAGACGACGTTGCCCGCATGCGTGATAAGGCGGAGAAGCTCCTGCAAACGATTGAGGAGCTTCAGTCGTCTGAGTCGGAGAACCAGCTTCAGGCACGCCGTGCTGAGCGGGAACTCCGCGAGGAGAAGGAGAGATCGATGCGCCTGGAGCGTGAGCTTGAGGGCATCAAGGCGTTGAGATTCGAAAAGGGGGCGGCGTCCGCGATGGGAAGCGTCCGCGGTGCGTGGCGCACAGGGTTTAGTGTTGATGATGACACCGCCTCCATGATTTCTGTACCCAAGCGGAAGAGCAGCCTTAGTCGGGCACCGAGTCTCACCAAGGGGTTCTTGTAAAAGAAGCGGGGTGTCAGGGGTATGATGTTGATGTATGGGGAAAAGACGTTGTAATGTTTAAATGGGACTGACTAGCACGGGTCGTTTTGGCGTTCGAGCCACGGACCGTAAAGGTCTGGGGAAACGGAGCGTGCGCATGGTCGCGAAGGGCGTGTTATGGTGTTTTTTTCCCTTTTCCTGTTGTATACGTACAGCATTGGCGTGTCTAGCATCGGGTTTGCGCTTGGTTTATTGTTGTGGTCAAAATTACATATTTTCAGTTGCCTTTATGAGACGAATAGATTCGGACGTTCAGAAGAGGATATCATGACTACAGTAGCCCTCCACATGCGTATCTAATTTCACGTGGATGAGGACATCCCGTGATTCTCACCGCTGAATTCCTCGTGGATGTTGTTTGGTCTCGGTGGTTGTACTTGGGTGACCTTGGATATGCGGGTAGCCGCGCGCTCTCGAGAGGAGGGGAAGTTTGGTGGTGGGAGCAAACAAAAAGGCGAGGGTCGGGCTGTTCTCTCTTTCGAGATTCTGTGAATCTTTGTCTTGCTTGTTTTCTCTGTTGTCTTGCGCTTTGCTGTTGCCAAAGCAGAATCTGCCGCATCGTTCAAGTATTTGAAACTGGGACGTATACGACCCGACTTTGAATCGAGCTCGACGACCTGCGGTACGAACTCATCGGACTCGATATACGACTGCCGTGGAGATGGCGGATCTTCGACAGCGGGTACCGGTTGGGGGGCTCAGCGATGTTGGAGGGGAGGTGATTTGTCTTGATGATGAGGGTGTTATTGAGGAAGGTGTTGATGTAGGTTTAGTTGGTGGGGGTGGTACTGGTGGGGGGTATTATTACTATGATGATGGAAGTGAAGATACCTCAGAGTCAGAGACGGCTTCGGATGAGGAAGAGAGTGGTTGTGATGGGCGTGGGGGATGTGGCGGGTGTTGGGAGGGAGATGAATGTTGCTTTGAGATGGTGGAGTGTTGTTCTGGTGGGTATGGGTGTCAGGCTGGAGGGGGGAGGGGAAGTTATGGGATTGGATTTGGGTGTGAGGTCGGTGGGAGGATGACGGCAAGGGATTGTGGAGGTAAGAGGGGGAAGAAGTGTAAGGAGTGCGAGAAGAGGAAGAAGTGCAAGGCGTGCGAGAAGAGGAGGAAGAAGAAGGGGAAGGGGTTCTGGAGTAAGCTTTATCCTGTGAAGAAGTTGGGGGAGTGGGGTGGTGATGTTGTTGGTGTTTCGAGGTGTCCTGGTGAGGTTGGTATTCCCTTCTCTGTAACCTTTTTTTTTGTTTTTGGGTCTTGCCTTATAAGCTCTTGTGGAGAGGTGAGGGCTGAGAGTTACAAGGGAAGAGGGTTGGTGTTCTTGTTTGAATGTAGCTAATCGCGTGGAACAGCAAGATCCGAAGAAATGGGGGTTCCGAGTCGACGATAAATTGGGTGGATCACGAGGATGCCTCTTGGGACCTACGAATACGATGACGAGGCATGACTGTACCGGTACTGGATCTTGCGGGGATATAAGACGGCCGTATACGGTGACGGAGCCCCGAGGAGGAGGAAGAGAACAACGACATGTACCGAGACACGGACCGAGGAGGCATTATCACCCTGGGCTGGGTAGTGGAGATCATGGCCAGAGGTATAAAGAGGTCTTTAGCCCTTCGCGAGGCGGATGGTTGTTGTTCCCAGTTGAGAAGTATGATGCTTCTCCTCCTCCTCCTCCTCGGAGAAACCGATCTCGCGATGAAGAGTGGATCAGGCCACAAGATAGAGCAAGAAGCAGATCTCGCGATGGAGGGCGGTATTTCCGTGAGAGGGTTCGGCATGTGTATGTTCGGCGCGAGGGTGATGATGGGAGGTGGAGGGGTGAGAGGGGGAGGAGTCGGAGTAGGAGTTTGACGAGGAGCAGAAGTAGGACGATGAGTAGGGATAGGAGTCGGAGCCGGAGTCGGAGCGTGAGGAGGGGGGTGAGCGGTGATAGGAGGGATGGATATCAAATGCATGGCGGCCGCGGGGATGAAGGGGTACGGGAGTTCAGGGCCGGCGGCGGATATGACGACGGACGACGCGATGATGATCGCGGCGGCGGCTATCATGAGCAACGGCGCGGCGATGATCGAGGCAGGAGGAGTGTCGAACCTGGCAGTAGGAGACGGGCGAGGAGCTGGGAGAGGAGGTCGGATGTTAGTGAGAGGGTTGGGGAAATGGACGATCGTTCGCAGGGGAGTTCGTATGCCCTTGGGGAGACTGCTGTTGCTAGGAGGGATGAGGTTGTGAAGGCGGTTCGGTTTCAAGGTCACCCACGGTCGTAATGAGGATTGGGGGATGATTTCCAACTTGAGGAGCAAGTTTCACGGTGAAAGGCTCGCGGAAGGTCGCGTTCAAGTGACATTGCGAGTTAAGAATATGATATCAATATTTCATTCAAATAACCTCCCATCTCACATGGTCTCATTACATCCCATCATCAATCTCTTCATGCAATTAAGTTATTCCCCCTTCCGCTCTTCATTTTGGTTTCCAGAAATCGCTCACCGCACCTGCGCCGGCACCTTTTCGTAGCTCTTCACCTGGTCGGGCATGCGGTAGATGCACAGCTCCCGACAGAACATGCCCCACTCGCCGCTGGTGCCCTCGCGGACGGCCTCCTGCATGTCGCGGCCGTACCGCTCCCGGTAGGCGCGCTTGATGGCCTCGAGGTGGTGGCGGTCCCAGTGGAAGCGGACGAGGCGGGAGATGAGCAGCTCGCGGCGCAGGTCGTCCTTGCGGCTTGCTGTGAGGGCGTGGTGGACTAGTAGGGCGTCGCGGACGGGCCTGTTGATGACGCCGTTGAGGACGTGGGCGAGGAGTTCTCCCTATGAAGACGAGCCGGGTTAGATCTATGTCTATGTTTGTGTAACCATGAGAATTACTCACAACTAGGTTGCCGCTCTTCTTGAGCGCGTCGCGAGCAAAGTTGGTACGGTATGTCCGCTCGTATAATTTGAGCACCTCGCGCAGATGTGAGTCGCTCCTCTGCACAACAATGCTAATCATGAGCGACTCGCCGCCCTTCTCCGACTTGACGGCCTTGCGCAGGTCCGAGACATCATCCTCGACCGAGTGGTAGTCGATCGCCAAGCGGCGGCCGTAGGGGTCGTACTCCTCCATCCGGCGCTCCTCGAGCACCATGAGCACGGCCTTTTTGAACTTATCTTCCTTGAGCTCCGTCTTCATGCACTTTGTCAGGCTGTTGTCGTACTTTTTATCGCTGAAGCCGTCCTTGATGAGGCGGATCTCGTGGTTCGTGCGGCCCATGAGCGACTCGATGAGCAGCTCCCGGCGCGTCTTGTCGCCCTGGTACCAGAAGTTGGCCCAGTACGCCTCGCTCTCCCACTGGCCGAGGGCTGTGGCGTAGCAGGCCTTCATCAGGTTCGGGTCGGAGTCCTTGAGGCGGGAGCGGATGTGTTTGGCGACGTTGACGCCCTTGCGGTCGGCGCCCGTCTTGACGAGGGCCTTGTACTCCTTGCGGAGGTCCATGACCTGGTCGTGGGTGAGGCCGGGGAGGATCTCAATGAGGGGCTCCGGGTCCGGGGTTTTCCTGTCGCTGCGTAGCGCCTTTGCGATTCTCGACGCATCGTCCTCAATGTCGTGGAACCGCGCACGGCGGCGTCGTCGGCCCTCATCGTCAGAGCCGATTGGCGAGAGGGGCTCCATGACCTGCAGGTCGTGTGATGAGGGCAGCAGCATGGGTGACGGCATGGGTGACATGTCCTGATAGGTGCCGTGGTACGACTCCAGCAGCGGCGACCCCGGTGCGTTGGCGAGCGACATGCTCACGTTCATGGAGTGGTGGCCAGTGTTTACAGAGAGGTTCGACATGCGGTGAGTAGGCGGTTGGGGCGACTTGTCCCGCCTGCGGCTGCCGGGTTCGACCGTCAAGACATTGGACGAGACGCGCGGGTCGTTAGCGTAGTACTGCGCGGCGCCGGCCGAGATCTGTGGCCCTGGACTCGGTGCGCGACCAGAGTATCGGGGCTCAGGGGCGAGGCCGCCTGGTCTAGAAGCATTGGGGTCGAAGCCGTATGCGAGGTTCTCCTCCAGAGCCTTCTTCTTTTCCTCCTTCTTCTTGGCCTTGTCGTCGGTCTTTGCGTATTCGTAGGGCTGCGGCTGAGCGTAAGCGTAGCCGCCGGGCGACACAGGGCGAGGGGGCTTCGCTGGAGGGTACAGGTCGCCCGCGTCAGGGCGAGGCGGCTTTTGAGGCGCGTATTCGGCCTCGTTGCCGTATTTGCTGTTACTGCGACCGTGACTGCTGTACTTTGCGGGCAGATACTTGAGCTTGTCGTCGTCACGGGGCTCGTCGTACTTCTCGCGCGAGTTGCGGTAGTAGTTGTCTTGCGGTGATGGGGGCGGACGGTAAGCAGGATTGCTGCCGCGCGGGTCATCGTAGTCGTAGAGTGACCTGGTGCCTGGAAACATTGCGTCGCTGCCGTCCTCTGGGTAAGGAATAGCTCCTGACATGGCGCGGCTGGCGCCCGGCTCTGCGGTGACGACGTTGGCGCCTCCTCTCTCGCGTCCATATCTGCCACCATCGAGGTCGTCTTCCGGGTAAGCATAGCTGGGCTCGCGCGAGGGATCAACCATGGCGGGGACCGCGGGGCTACGACTGCGCTCGCGACGGCCCGGCGAGCGCGAACGGGTGCGACAGCCTCGGTCGTCAACCTGGAGAGACATGGTAGTTGCTTGGAGACTCTGGACACTCAAACTGGGTTTGTCGCTGTTGAGTCTGCACTTGGCTGCGAAAATGCGAGCTGACGGGAATCGAGGTGGGGTTTTGGAGCTCGAAGTTGAGACAAAACGTGCGGGACAGGGAATGAGGGGCTCTCTCTGGCCCAAGTGTGTGTGTGTGGGACAGGGACCGTGGGCGTAGGGCGACGGGAGCTCCTCTTTTTTTTTTGCTGGTATATATCAGAGGGGAGAGAGAAGAGATGAGATGTCGCGTGCTCTCTGGGCTTCAATTGAGCAGCGTGCGGCTGACTTCAAGTACTTGTACAAATGTTGGAGCCTCGAGCATAGGGTTGGATACGAAACGAAAGACGAGGAGGCTGTGGATGCATGTAAAAGAAAGGAAAGGAGACAGATAGATGCACTAATGTAAGGGTAGGCATGGGAAAATGGGGTGAGTGAGCCATGAGCAAGCCACCCAAAAGGAGAAGAGTTGGGCTGAAGGATGTGAAACCCACCCAGTTGCATAGCGTCTCTTCCCCATCCTGACCAGAACAGCATCAGCATCAGCAGCAAGTTAGTTGGTTAGCAACAGCTGTTGCGGTACCATGCAGTAAGCTAATGGAGCTCGCATCGTCTATCCCCTGTTCTGACTCCTCGGTGGCTACCTAGCTTGGCGGGAAATGTGTCGTATGAGCTACTGGCGAGTAATGCTACATGACATTACCTGCAGCACCGGCCTGGCATCATGAGGTAGCCGTGTCTCTTGGATCTGCTGATCAAAAGTTGTCCGTCTAGGTAGACCGTCAGGCGCTAATGGCTGTGTGGTTGCGCCGGTTGGTCCAATGGCCGCGATGGCCTCAAATCTAAAGGCCCCTCAAAGAGTGCCAACACCGCCTTTCTGTCGTACTGCGTCCTGCGTGCACCAAGACCCTCAGGACAGAGCCCCCGGAAAGCCAGGGGGCGGGCTGGGGTCAACCGTCAATGTGGGCATGAGAGGAAGGCTGTGAACGGCGGCGAGTCCGTGGCAACGGGTTCCTCCAGGGAAGCTAAGCTCTCCGACCCCGTGGGCGGCGGCGGCGGCGGCGAAGAGGGGTGAACGGGTCCCTCTGCAAACTCGAGAGCAATTCCCAACGGGCCGTCTTGTGTTGTGATGACATGCTGCAGCGGAGCGGGGCCGGGATCCCCGCCATGTTGCCCTACTCGTCCTATCAACATGCTCCCGCTGCGGACGATGCAAGGGCCTTTGGGGGCTGAACGAGTGCGTGCTGCCACTGCTGCACCAGTGACGATGGCACGCTGGGAATCTAGGTAGTCGATGGTCGACGGCCGACGATTTCGGCTCGGGACCTAGATGGTGACACGGCGGGTGGGATGAAAAGCCGAAGGATTCCGTCGATGAGAGTATGGGAGCTCCCAGATGCCTTAGGTAATCTTCCATGACAGACTGAGGTACCCCACTCTCGGTTGCTTATGTAAGGCATGGGGAACCGGAGACTTTCGGCCAAAGGCAGGGCCGCCGGTGGTCGTTGCTGCGCAATCGGGTTATCGGGATAAGCCGGGCTGCACGGGCCACAATCGAGCTCCACAGTGTCAGAGCTCCCCCAACGGAACGAACTCGGAGGTGATGGAACTCCTGTTAATTATTGAGCCGGCAAAAACGAGACCTTTTTTTTTCTCCTTCCTCTCGTCCTTGGAGATCTTTTCTGGTTAATCTGGCAATAACTTCACGCACTCCTTCTCATCACCCATCGAGGTCATCAAAAGCTTCAATTGGCTCCGTATAAGCTAGAAATTGCGACTTAGACCGCCGTTTCTACTCTCCAAGACCCTTTCTCCAACCACCAACAGAAAAAAAAACGCCCGCCATGCTTCGATCGGCACCAGCTCGTCGCGCCGCTTCCGGCCTGGCAAACACACGGCTTACCGTTATGCCGAGGACATGCGCAAAGAGCCTCTCCACATGCTCGACCCGATACACCTCCTCTTCCCCCGCAGCTCTTTACCCCGCGACGAACTCCAGATCAACAAACCTCACCAGCCCTTTCTCCCTCCAGAGAAGCATTCACACCACTGCTCCCAGAATGGCCGAAACCCGTACCGAGAGCGACGCCTTTGGCGAGATCCAGGTCCCCGCGGACAAGTACTGGGGTGCTCAGACTGAGCGTTCCCTCGAGAACTTCAAGATCAACCAGCCCCAGGACCGCATGCCGCCCCCGATCGTGAAGGCCTTTGGTATCCTCAAGGGCGCCGCCGCCACCGTCAACATGCGCTACGGCCTCGACGAGAAGGTTGGCAAGGCCATCCAGCAGGCCGCTGCTGAGGTCGCCGAGGGCAAGCTCCTCGACCACTTCCCCCTCGTCGTTTGGCAGACCGGCTCCGGCACCCAGTCCAACATGAACGCCAACGAGGTCATCTCCAACCGCGCCATCGAGATCCTCGGCGGTGTCAAGGGCAGCAAGAAGCCCGTCCACCCCAACGACCACGTCAACCGCTCCGCCTCTTCCAACGACACCTTCCCCACCGTCATGCACATCGCCGCCGTCCTCGAGATCGAGCAGGAGCTCCTCCCCTCCCTCAAGAGCCTTCGCGATGCGCTTCAGAAGAAGGTTGACGAGTTCGACGCCAAGCAGATTATCAAGATTGGCCGCACCCACTTGCAGGATGCTACTCCCCTGACCCTCGGCCAGGAGTTCTCCGGATACGTCGCCCAGCTTAGCCAGAGCATCAAGAGAGTCGAGTCCTCCCTGCCCGACCTGCGCCAGCTCGCTCAGGGTGGTACCGCTGTCGGCACCGGCATCAACACCTTCCAGGGCTTCGCCGAGGGCATCGCCGAGGAGGTTTCCAAGATGACCGGTACCAAGTTCGAGACCGCCCCCAACAAGTTCGAGGCCCTTGCCGCCCACGACGCCATCGTCCAGGCCCACGGCTCCCTCAACACCCTCGCCGCCTCCCTCTCCAAGATCGCCCAGGACATCCGCTACCTCGGCAGTGGCCCCCGCTGCGGTCTTGGTGAGCTCAACCTCCCTGAGAACGAGCCCGGCAGCTCCATCATGCCCGGCAAGGTCAACCCTACCCAGTGCGAGGCCCTCACCATGGTCTGCGCCCAGGTCATGGGTAACCACGTCGCCACCACCATCGGCGGCATGAACGGCCAGTTCGAGCTCAACGTCTACAAGCCCCTGGTCATCCGCAACCTTCTCCACAGCGTTCGCATTCTCTCCGACGGCATGCGCTCCTTTGAGAAGAACCTCGTCGTCGGCCTCCAGGCCAACGAGGAGAAGATTGCCAGCATCATGAAGGAGTCGTAAGTCACCAATGTTATCTGCAGAATTATGCGTCTTATTACTAACACTGTCACAGCCTCATGCTGGTCACCACCCTCAACCCCAAGATCGGCTACGACATGGCCTCCAAGGTCGCCAAGAACGCCCACAAGAAGGGCCTCACCCTCAAGGAGTCCGCCCTCGAGCTCAACGCCCTCTCCGAGGAGGACTTTGACAAGCTCGTCCGCCCCGAGCTCATGATCGGCCCCAGCGCTTACAAGCAGTAGAAGCGGCGCACTGGAGATTGGTTTTGTTGAATGCTGTTGCTGTTGTTGTTACGTGTTGATATAAAGTGGAGAGCTAACCCCGAAACCCACCAAAACCTCAACCCCCCACGCCTTGTGTAAAACTACCTACCTTGCGTAACGATATCCTGTTACCTGTGAAAAGGGAAACAATGCGGTCTTGAGCGATCCGTGTTTGTAGAATTGAAATCGTAAAACAAAAACATTTTCAAATTTCGCGTGTTTGCACCAGATTGTGAGGATCATGTTGTCTTTTTAAATGACCCCGCCATTTCACATGTGATGTAATCCCGTACCCCGCACATTGCGCACCGCGCGCCGCATGGCTGTCAAGATGCCGTCTCACCGTTCGGATGGGAGGTTTCATCTCGTCTGCGTGTGCTTGAGCACTGCACCGTCTCAAAATCTGCAGACGACGTGTGTCGTTTGTGGAAGTTCGGGTGTGTAAGGTAATGTACAGAGTATGCACGGTTTGAAGCGGTCATGGCCCGCCTTAAATGGGGGCCAACACTAAAGGCTACTTTGTTGACATGTATCTCTTGTCAGTAACCGTGAGACCTACTCCAAATGAGTTTGTTTGCCAATTAGTCGAGTCACGAGGCCATGGCAAAGTACTAGTGCACGTCGGGCTTGAGTTTCGTGATACTGTACAAGTTGCCGAATCGAGACGGGTTGTGACCTGGTCGAGTGGTGCCATTGGTTGAGTGAAAACTACGGGACGTCTACCACCTCAAGAGGGCAGAGCCGACAAAGTGCTCCGCCCCTCACACCTTCGTAACCACTTTTATCATCACAAAATCACGAATATTGCGGAGGAACATATGCCGAAAGGAATGACGGCTGAGAACGAAAGTCGCGGTAAGGTGGTTCAAGTAAGAGGCCCCCTCGTAAGTCCATAGCGCAAGGAGACCATGAGTGGTGGAATGAGAAAGAATCAAAGATCTTCTTCGGAATCCTCTAAATCACGAACCCAAAAAGCTACATCTTCATGTTTTATGCCAATCTTGAGGGCTTCCTCCTGCGTCCAATGCTGCTCTCTCAAGAAGTAGTATGCAACGCTGAAATGGTTCCGGAGTTTTGTAGGTTCCAGAGGATTAGATATTAGAGTTTTCGGGTCGACCTTCAGTCCCTCAATCAAGTATTGAAGCGATTTTCTATTTCCCGAACATACTGCAGCTCTCAACATGCTGTCATGGACTTCCCCAATTGAACTGTCAACGTTGTAGCCAAGCTTCCTGTCGAGGAGGACACGGATGCATTGTGCTGCACCATAATAAGCTGCGCTTTCAAGGACTGTTTGATCCGTGTTCCTCCATAGTGTTAAATCAAGCTTATGGTCCAAAAGCAACTCTAGCCCCTCAGCGTTGTCGATCCGGAAAGCAGACGTGAGGCAGCACAGAACGTTGCTTTTGCAGGGTAAGTTCGGGTCCGCCGGGTCCGCTTTCCAATCCAACAATGCTGAAAGGATATCAGTGGAGTCCATGTTATCTTGAATTACCTCGCACAAAGGTGTATGTTCATAGTGAAGGTTAGGATCCGCCCCCCTCGAAAGCAGCAGTTTGACGGTACTGAGAGTGCCGCATGCGTGATGCAGTGGATACTTCTGGTATCTATCGATACGATTTACGTCCTTGACATTGATCTTTGCTCCGTTATCAATGAGAAATGAACAAATCTCGTCGTATCCGTGCCTTGCAGCAATAGATAGGAAAGAGTCTGTCTGTCCAGGCGTTGCCTCGTCGAAAACATACCCAATTCGGCGCAGATGCTCTAGTAAGTCAAGTGACCCTAAGCCGCAGGCTGCGAAGACAGGGTTGCACCATGGCTGCATTTCCTCATAATTCTCCAACAGCCAATTTCTCCTCAGTGCCATCTTACCATTCAGATCAGTTTGATATCGAAAGCTCGAAGTATCGGCAGTGGCACCAAGACCTAGACAATATCCCAGGACTCCCAAGATTTCCTCTGTTCCAGAGCGTCGTTCGAAGATTCTTCGGACAAAGTCTAGCCAGCTAGTATGGGCGTATGCGGAGAAAGTGAAGTTGACAATGGCTGCTGCGGGGGAAGCGAGACCGTCCGTGTCCATCAAGAGTGGATGAATCCGGAGGTGCCCGTAACTTGAACGCAGTTCAGTGGCTCCTATGTCTGTGTAGCTCCCCATTTCTCCAACTCTGTGCTCTCTTGGCAAAGACGCCTGTAAGAGCAGCGACGTTGCAATGTATAGTTCACTGTTTTCAGTTTCTTTCCAGTGGTCGAGCTTATTGTCGAAGAATTCTGCGACTGAGGCATGCGGAAATCTCCAATTCCAATGTTTTGCATCTGTGGCGCGTCTCTCTGAGAATATCTCTTGAAAAGTAATCAGATGACGGCATATGTTGCCTAATTCAGTCTCCGTAATGCTTTCTTGATTCAAGGCAGCCTCAAACTCCTCGTGGGTCTTGCAGAACGGCAGTTTAACGACTTGGAGAAGGACCTTTGTCGGTAGCGGTATCTTGGCCCATTTGACCCACATAGCGGCTCTCATAAGAACTGCCAATGCGTGGCCGTTTTGCCGAGAGCATATCTCCTCGTAAGAGGCCACGAGGCCCTCTGGAAGCTTCATGAGTCGCTGCTTCACATCGATCTCTGTACTCAACGGTTCTAACTGATCCCATTGAAGTTGAACCCATTTGAACCTGGTCGCACAGTGAACATCAGTGAAACTTCTGGAACTTGCAGCTGTAGGTAGCGGACTCACATTCCACCATGTTTCTCGAGAAGAGTCTCTCTCACAAGTGACCGAACACTCTGTCTCTTCCAAACAGGGCTAAGACCGACTTGGCTGAGCTTGAGGTCAATGTATTTCTGAATATCTTTATGGTTGTCCGAGGTGCTGATCTGAATGTAAGACGACGTCTCCATTAACTCAATTAGATCGGTTTCTGGGCGACTGGATATGAACACTTTGACGGGCCGGTCAGAGTCTTCGACCAACTTTTGGAAAAAGGTCACAATCTGCGCTCTTGACCTCTGATCGCATTCGTCCAGAGCATCAAGCACCAGGATAGATCGCGGGTACGTGTTGACCAGTTCGCGTACAAAGCGTTCGCATTCAGAGATTTCTAAACTTCGTCGAGATGCCGCAGCATCTTTGCAAAACGTGAGAAGTTGCTTGTGCCATCGGTCGCGGTGGCGCGACACCGCCAAGAGCTGCACGATATAGCTGCTGAGAATAGATTTTATATCTTTTCGGCCAACCAGTGAGCGATCGCAGTAAAAGTGAGCAAAGCCTTCATCGTTCTCTGATGATCTCAAGGTATCGCCAGGGCGAGACCGATAGCGATCAATCACTTTAGACGTCAAGAAAGACTTCCCAGCTCCCACTTTTTCTACCAATTAGCACTAATTTACGCGAAAAGGAGGATGTTTGGCGTACCTTGGCCGTTGAGCCATAGGATTGATGACGAGCTTGGCTCTTCCCACGCAAGGAAGCTCGGATGTTGTATAAGCCATTCGCAGGTTCCCTCAGTCCTTAACTCTTTTTTGGCGACATGAATCTCATCAACCTTGACGTCACTGATGTAGTCCATGGCATGCTCTCTGTCTCGGCTTTCCATATCCTTGAAACAGTCTAAAAGCTGCACTACCCTATCGTCGATCCGTCGCAGAGGGCTGTGAAGGCTTTGCAACAGCTCGAGATTCCTCTCTGTTGACTCGCAGACGCAAGCTTCTGCGTTCTTCGAGACGTCATTCTCCGCGGCCGTCAGGTCTGATAACAACGATTCTGTGCGGTCTGGGTCAGTGAGAGCCGTGAGAAACTGCGTTGCCCAGGATTCTTGTCCGTTTAACTGAGTTGATGTCGAGGCTAATAAGTCCAGCGAGGATCTGTACAGCTTAATGATAGAGTCCCTCAGAAGCACTCTCGAGGGTTCCGTCAAGTTCGCACTAGAAAGGCCGTACACAGATTCGTATATCTGACCCCGTCTGATAATGCTGAGAATGCGGTCGGCGGCACCAAAAGCAGCGGTGATTTGTTCGACTCGACTTGTTTCGGCCTGTACCAGTCAGCAAAACCCAGAATCTGATAGGAGTCCGTTCGGGCGAGCCTACTTGTAGGAGTACTCTGAGTGCCGACCACACCGGCGAGACTGGCGCAGGGGCGAATGGTACGCTGATGTCGCCGATCATAGTCACCCAAGCCACGACTCGATTCGCATAGTCCCTCCACAAAATGTTCCGTTCTCCGATTTTCAATCCTGAACTGGCATCCTGGTATGTTTCTTCGCTTTGCCTGACCAGTGTCGTCAATTCTTGGACTTGGATGGTACTCGAGCGGTCGACGCCGAACTTTCCCATCCAAGACTTGGTGTCTTGATGAGTCTTGTTGAGCGCCTCATGCCATAGGTCGATTGGCGCGTTTTCTGTAACGATGATAGATTGACACTTGACGAGCTGAACGTCTGAGGAGGGGGCCTCAACATGCGCTTCGGCAGACTCCCGACTGTGTTTGCTGTTGGCGTCTGCGTTTCCGGTTCCCGCGTATTTGGATGAAACTGACTCGGCCTTGCCATTCAAAACGGAATCACCGGTAGACTTGGTCGGCGACTGTGGTTTTGGTTCACATGGAACGGCTGGCTTTGGCGTCGGTCCTGGTGAGGCGGAAGACTTCTTCTTCGATCCGAGATTGAAACAAGAGATCAAGGCCGAAACGCAGCTGGACTTTGTGTCCTCGGAGGACTTGGTTTCTGTCATCATGGAGATGTGAAACACTGCTGTTCAGACACCCCAATTGACCCAATGGTGACTCTGGACCGAAAGTGTCTGCCCCAGACTTGCGATGAGCTCTGTGTCAAGTGGCGCATCCAGTTTGCGGGACTTTGACGAAGGAAACTTAAAGAACGATTTACGGTAGAGACCGTAATATCATAGAATACCACGACTATTGAGGAAGCAAGCCGAAAGATAGACGTGGCATGGAGGCGAGTGGGCGAGGAGATTCCGAGGTATGTGATAGCTCGGGGATTTGCCAAAAGCCTGAGAAGATTCCGGTTAGAAAAGGGGTCATGAGGCATCCATACATGCAGGTCGCAGCGCTTAGCTGCATCATAACATGAGTCTTCCATCCAATGGTTGTACGTGAAGCCGTCGACCAACATGCTTCCCGCCGAAAATCACACTCTCTGATGGCGCATCGCGAGTAACTACACGCGGCTATCAATTGCCCTGTTATAGTTGCACCATGGGCGAAAGTAGTTGCGTCTTCCGAAACATGACGAAGCCAAGATTATGATATTTATGAGTTCTGTACACCAACGGAGATGCAAAGGAGGGGTTGGTTGGACCAGGGTTCAGATCTGCAGCCTACTGATGTTGGGACTTATAACTGTTGGTTGGGACAAGGTACACTGCAACCCGAGCTCTCATAACAAATGCCTCACGGATGAACGTCGCATCAGAATAATAAGGTAGATGAGACACGATAAGTTGCGTCAAACCAGGTATTGAGTTGAGGCCGCAAAGCCTGATGAGCCTCACTGCACTGTACTAATGACCACAAAATACTAGCGAGATAGTCTTCCATTCTATACCACGATGACCTCTGCGTCTTCAAGTAGCACCTTGATGAATCGAGCGTTGTCAAGACAAGGCATGACCCTCTTAGATCCAGACGACGATTGGAATACCGTTTATCTCTGTCCTTGGAGTAGAACAGAAAGAAGCAAGTAAATTTATTATATGTAGTGTATATACTCCATAGTAAGCTATCAAGACATCGTGGCATGCTGTCTCCTTCACACCTAAGAATATAAGCATGGTGTCCGCATCCAGGCGAAGTCCGTAACGAAAGACACGTCCGACAACCTGTATGTGTAATGGATTGATATCTGCGGGAAGGAGTATCCTACTTTCTCTTCCTAACAGTCACAAGCCTCACCGCCATCCATCAGATTAACAAATGGAGCCTCAACATCTTCAAAGCTTGACACTGTTCTACCATGGACGTTCCTTACCGACCACATATCAAACTCTACTTACTCGACCTTTCTCCGATACTCCAGAGATAGATATAAGTCAAGCCAAGTTTCCTGAACCCATCCCAGATTCCTTTTCGGTTCCTTCCACCTTCAATCCCAAATTGCAAAACGGAAAAGAGAAGAAAGACCAAACACAAACAAACCCTCACCACCCATAACTCACAATATGGCATCCAAAATCAACCTCGCCATCCAGCGACTCGCTATGCCCATATCCAAGGCCGCGATCACCCCAGCTACCAGACTCGGCACCCAGCAGCCACGTCTCCTTTCAATCACCGCAGCCCTACACAAGAGACTCACCCCCTCCGAGTACCGCTGCTCCACAAGGAGAGCCCTCGAGGAACGCAAGACGCTCACCAAACCAAAGTCAAGCGCCTTCACCTGGCCTCTTTGGGCGAGCGGAAAGGCAACCGTCAGATCTGGGCTCCTCAATAGAACTATTCCCCTGAGAAGAGTCAAGGCTCCCAATCCAAGCGCCCACAAAGTCAACAAGACGGAGCCGATGCAGAGCGCAATCATCCCCGCATCTCCTATAAAGATGTCCACCCTCAAGAACAAGATCTCCAGCGGCTATAACGGAACTATCAAAATGGCAAAGAAAGTAAACGCCTTCCCCGTCATATGGAAAGTCGCCGGCCTGACGAGCCTCGCCTCCCTCGGCACCTACGGCGCCATCGGGCAATACCAGGCCATGTTAGAAGCAGAAGCCAGAAAGAAGAGAATTGCGGAGGAAGACGAGGCTTGGAGGAGATACAAACAGGAACTGTGGGAGCAAGAGCAATCCATATCGCCTGGCTCGGGCGTACTCGACGATGGATCGTATCCCTTTGCTTTGTTTTACCACTAGTAAGGCATGGGCGGGGTGGTTAAGTTGAGATATGGGGAAGTATGAGAGGGACGTCGCGCCAGAGAATACGGGCTCGTCCTCGGTAGTTCCGTCACACCCATATTAGCTAAATATGAGAAAATTGAAGTTCTAAGTGCAAGCCATAAGTCTCGTGTGAGGTCAGTGACTGTCGTCCATCTTGTTCAGGTCCTACAGTGTCAAGAGAATATCCGATGAGCTTAGCATTAAGTTTCGTTTCACGGCTGGGTCAAGTCTGAGACTGACATTATCAAAGTCAGAGTCAAAGATATCCGCTCTTCTACGATTCCAGGCAGTTGTGTTGTAGGTAGGACTCAACGTATGTCGGCTGCCCCATCTTCTCTCGGGACTCGGTCCCGCAGATGTTGTCTGGTTCATCTCCCTGATGTACCAAGCAAGTCAATATCAACGTAGAGGTGATTTTCCCGTTTACTAGACTGCTGTCTTCTTCACCTCACAGTCAAATCCGCCGGCCCTTTCCCCTGAGTAGGACCACAATACGGCGCAATTGCAAGCGGATACGTCGAATGATTATCTGAACTTGCTATTCACTGCATGATCCCCCTTCACTACTTACCCCAAGACCCCTCTCATCCACCCCTCACTCACAAAAACCACCCAACCGTACCGTACTCCACCCATCGTCACCAACCACGACAAAACGACGATATCTTCATCAAAAAACGATCCAAAAACATACAACACCAGGTATTCGCTGGTCGTCACCGACCCAACCACTAATCCGGCCCTCATTGGCTTATCTATGGGAGAGCGGACGGGATCCCGAGTTTTCCAATGGGTATGGTCGTATGTGACGGTTGAGCAAAGGGTAGGAGCTCATATCGTGAGATTGAGGGGGGAATTCTTGCGTTTGGTGGGTGACCAACACAACAACTCAAGAAAATCCGACTATCGATGGCCTTGTGAAGAAATCTGGAGGAAGTATGGAGTACTGCCATCATTAAAAAATGGGGATTGATGGTGTGGTGCTGGGGCAAAGTTTAGGGAGCTGTCTGATATGGCCGCATGAGAGGCGTCGTGATGATGGCTTACGGCTCACGCTTTGGACGGACACCGCACCCGTAAGCATTTCGCTGCCCTCTACCTCTACCAAATCCTTGTAAATGAATTCACTGGAAGAGAGATAATCTAAGAGAGACACGTGTATGGTCCTGAACCATCGCAAGCGCGCTTCCACCTCCGGCGACGGCTCCAGTAATTCGCACCTTGGAGTATCATCGCGTTACAATGTTTGAGCCGCATTACCGAGGGCGGAACTTAAATCCTGGGTTCGTCAACCACCACCACAAGAACAGGAATGTATCTACGAAGTATTCTCATGTTTGTTCCGTATCAAGTATTCCCATTTGAAAGGTCGCTTAAAGATACTTTACAACCCGGGAGGTGGGGGGAGTAGTCGATGGCGGATCACGGCACTTCGGCAACATTGCTATAAGGTAGACGGGCCGCAATAGCCGCTATCTCGTCACCAGTTACCTTATCAGACGCCGGGAAGGTGGGCTGGAGCACTTGATCTGACTGCACTAGAAGGTCGGTAGCTGGTTATACTTCAACTACAATTCTTGCATGTGCAATTCCAAGAAGACTGGCTTTCGAGGCGGTACTCGAGATACAGACGTGGTGCGGGCATAGTACCGTGGAACATCTCCTACGCTCACCGCAACAAATCTAGACCCATTTCTCAGCCGTGCCTCATGGTTTGAGGTTATGGTAGTAGGTTGCGAGACTTCGGATTAAGTAGATCAGTCCATCCAAGCTTGGGGATTCTGGTTTTTCTTCGGTGTTCCGCAACTCACCGACGCCGTCACAAACCCAGAGCCGCCCTCTTGTCGTGAAGCTTCAACGTCATTTTGATCGCCCTGGCCACTGCCTTGCCGCACTCAAAGTTCACAGAGATGACATGGTACAGATAGGTTGATTGTTTATGAATTTTTTCTTGTTTTTTATTCATGCCGTTAACCAGCGCCGCGCTCAATACTAGTAAGAAGATGGTATCGCAATGTCTAGTAATCACATTAAAATAGTCCGCAAGTCCTGAGACTTGTTGAGTGTTGGTGTTTTCGTTTTTCTTTTTTCGTTGCCCTTCCTGGGTTAAACCATTTCCATAGAATCATGGTCTCGGTTCTTCGGCATCCTGCCCCTCCTCGTCATGATAAGGCACCGAGTCACATCGGAACGATGGTGTCTTGCACGCCTTCTCGTCCACCTCTAGCCGGATTACTCCTTGCGGGTCATAGTGCTGGCGTACTCTGCGTTCTCTGTTAGTCGATTGCACTTTGATAGCTAGTTGACACACGTGAACTCACCCTTGGAAGGTAGTACCGACAAACTCCAGCACCAAAAGGACGAGAACAAGGGCGATGACGGCGCCGAGAACAATTAGATCAGGGTGCTGCTCAAAGATCCTCATCGTCGGCCGGGTGATTTGCTTCCAGGACGGCAGGCGACCAGAAGGCAACAGTTCCGCCAGGCCATCCTTGAGCGACATTGGCGTGATCGTCTCAGGGGTTCCGTCGCCCACAACGTCCACCACTCTGTCCTTGCCGTGAGGTGCCGGGTGCCTTGACAGGGACTGGAGGTAGCTGGTCTTCAAAGGCCGCGGTGCGGCGAGGACGATTGACGGGGGCATGTCCTCGGATGGTGTTACTGGCTCGTTGTTGAACTCGGTTTCGATGTCATAGACGTCAGAGATGGGTCGTGTACGGTGCATAGACACGCGTGTTACCCTCGTCAGACGACGTGCCTCGGTCTTGACGTGTGAGACCATATCTGAAATGGTTGATGGGACGGGAGCAGCCAGGCCGAACTGGGTGAAGCCCAGGGCGAAGAGTAGTGATGAAGGCTTCATTTTTTCGGTGATTAGGGTTGGTAATAGGTGATTGTGGTGTATACAAGAGTTGGTGTTTGAATGCGCGAAGACCGTCTTTTGTCGTCGTGTCTCAACTCAATCCTGGTTGTCGAGGGTTTAGATGAGGTTCGGGGATGCTCGTCTGGTAATCTGTTTCCCGCGATGTCTGTCGATGTCGAAGTAGTTCCAGCCACGAAGAAAACCTTCTGGTTCCTTTCTTTTGCCTTTCCTCCAACGATGCAGGTCGTCTGAGTTGATGCAACTAGCCTGTTGACTTGTACTGGATGTGTGCTCCAAGTACTACTGCGTCTGTAACGATTCCACCAATGTCCTCAAGCCAAGGCGGTGTTCGGCAATTTGTGATGATTGTAAACTACCAGTGGTGGATGTGGCAGTTCAAGGTGGAGGGCAGTGGTATTGTATTAAGATGCTTGGACGGGTGCGGGGTGTGCCGAGACTTGAAGTGATATATGTCCAGGCCTGGGCAAGCCAATTTATTAGAGGAAAAGAGATCCGGTGACAGCGGCAGGGCAACCAGAGACAAGTCGAGGCGCGAAACCGAGCGCAGAAAAGTCAGCGTAATGGAGGGCGGGAAAGCTCGCAGGCGAGTGAAACAAAACAAGTAACGGGCTCTGGTGCGTTCCCAAGTTGTGAGGAATGAAGAAGATGGGACGGGGCGACTAATGGAAGATGTGAGTCCCGGGGGCAGCGAGGAGGACCGGAAGGATAGACGGCTGAGAGCAGAACGGAAGAGGTAGGTGTTCGTGGGATTTGACGTGCCAAGGCGAGCGAGGTCTGAAAGTAATATAGGAAGAACAAGAGACACCCTCGACTCGTCCGGAGTGATGGGGTCTGATCAGAAATGGGACTGGGTATCCGTGAGTATGTTTGTGCAGGAGACAAGAGGCATGGGGCGGGTGAGGTGGTAATGTTATTATGTATGATCCAGAGCAGAGAGACAGAGAGAAAGGAGAGCAAACCCAACCTTTTACGCATTGGGATTAACATGACATTAGCCTCACCCAAGACGGCGGCGTTTCTGTTCGCACCTTTTGGCCCTCGCTCCGTCTTCTTTCTCGAGAGACCTAGCCAGCCCACTGCAGCCAGCCATCAAGGGCCCAGGGCCATGCTCGTCCTCCTTGTCCCCGTCTCTCTCAGATCCCCTCTGGTCTGTTCTCTGCTTTCCCTCACAAAAAGCGGGTGCTGGGGGACCGGCCGCTGTCCCCCCCTCTGCCTTCGGGCGGCAGGCCAGGACCAGGATCTAGGCTCAGCCAGGGATGCAGGGATGGTCTGGACCCTGTGGGCTGCGGTGCACCCTGTTTAATGCAGCAAGTGGGTGTCTCGATTCAAACATGGTCGGCCGCAAGCTTCTTTTCTCTCCTGGACTTTGCCAGGGCATGTCCTGTCCATTCGTACCTCAGCATAACAGCATGCCTACTGTAGTGACTCTGGTGAGGAGGTGCGCCTAGGATGGTTTGTCTTTAAGCTCCGGCCCCCCAGTGTGAAGAAGCAAGGGCGACTGGCGAGTGATTTGCTGCTGCGCTCTCTCCGAAATGGACAGATGGGATGGGATAGGCACGCACGGAACGGCAACGGCAGCGGCACACTCAAATGATGACTGACTCTGGAGGCCTGTAACAAGAACGAGGTGAGAGCCTGCCGAGTAGCCGATCTCGAGCGCTGTGTTCTGGCGATCTTCGTTTCTTTGCATAAAGTTGATAGGCCCGCGGGCCTTGCGGCTCTGGTTCTTGTCTGCATTCTTTTCGGTACCCGGTTTGCTCGGCCCCCTCCATCATCCATCATCGGTGAAAAATGAGAAAGTGAGATGCGACATGGAGGGCCACCTCAAAGCACGACTCCATAACCACGAGCAGCTCGGTTTTGAAATATTCTCTCCTGTATCCCGATTTAGGATCGAACGACAAGGAGCCAAGGTGGACGCGGGGAGGAGCTGGATCGCCTGCACTACCACCTCGCCCAAACCCAAAAGGCGCGTTAGTTGGCGGGTTACTGCGTAGCAGGCAGGCAGGTTTGGTGAGGTCCCCTGGATTTTCCCTTCCGCTGGGGATTGCCCATGCCTTTCATGGGTTCTGCAGACCATAGGGCACCCACCCACACGACTGTGGCCAGGGATGGTCAGTGTTGGCACAGGCAGTTCAAGGGGCCGCGGGATTCGAGGGACGCGAGAATATGGAGAAGGAGACATACTACCTAGACAGACTCGAATGCGAGAATGAGACTGCCCAATAACCGGCAGAATCCTAGAGACTCCAGACTCTAGAGTGCAAATACCTGAAGAGGAGGTAATCCTTGCCAGCAGATCTCATGTGTCACGGCCGAAGGCCGGACGGGGGGTTCCATGCGTAAATTTGGTTGTCGACCGAGGTTGAGAAGAGACGAAAGACATGAAAGACAAAAAAGGCGCCTCCCTATGGAGTCTGTATGGATTCCAATTGGCATGTCAGGGGAAAGGCTCGACGGTTGCCGTCACAGGCTGCGGGAGTGAAGCCAGGTTGTCAAGTCAAGCTTCCACTCCGTTGTCTCGTCTAATTTTGCCAATGGTCGAAAGAGGGGGGACAGCCAGGAGAAGTGCAGGAAAGTAACATCGAGAGCGAAAGAACAAAGCAAGCTATTGAAGCTGAGAATGCAAGCCCGCATCTGCTCTGCGCTTGCGTCTGGTCAGCCCAACATCTGTACGGAATACTTGGTGTAAGCGATGCCCCCATCTGGACGGCACATTGGCCGATTGTGTGCTGTGATTCGTGGGCGCGCTTTCCCAGCTGTGCTTCCCCCAATGATTCTCACCTTCCCTGCAATAGTTTCTATTGAGGCTGCAGCTTCTTTCGCAAGCACGACAGCTTAAGGTAAGGTAAGGTAGGTAGGTACCTTAATTACTCCATGGCAGGACCAACAGTTACCTTCCGTACTTGCCCACCTCAGTTTACCTCAGGTACCTATTTTGCGCGATAGGTAAGGTAAGGTAGGTGCCCGGTAAATGCACTTTGTAGTTTGTACCTTGGTCTTTCCGAATATTCGTACCAGAGGAAGTGACCTGGACTTCTCTTTCCCACTTCTCACATCTCACGGCGCCACTGAAAGAAAAGGAAGAGAATCAAGCTTTCCTCGAGTGATCCCTCGCAGCTTGGCCAACCCCCAGTGCCCCCGTCTGGATCCTCTGGGCCCCTCAGCTCTCATTTCCCACCTTCTGCCCGTCCAGAATTGCCAACGGGAGCACGTGGGCAAAGTTAACCCTGTGCGAGTCTTGACTCTCGACTTTCTGAAGAGATGGCAGCGATCAAAGCCCACCAGGAGCCTTGCCTTTCTTGGCGATTCCAAGACGTACGAGAGAGCGAATCACATAATACCACCCCCCGTCACAACCGGACTTCCCACAGTGTCCCCTCTCCAGCTCCCTGACTCTTAAGTCTTTGCACCCGAAATATCGTCGCCTCCAGCCACAGCCCACCGGTACCCGTCCCATTGAATCTCGCGGAGAGAAAAGAAACGACCAGGAAAAGTGAAGAGAAATGAAAAAGACAAGCACACAAATCATCCCCCTTGCTCTGCCGCAGCTGAAGGAGATACCCGTCACCTATCGAGACCACATTGATGAAGAAGACGGAACCCCGTCGACCATCGTCTTCCAAGCCACCATAATGGACACTAAGTATTCGGCTTATTTTTCCTCCATGGTCCCCAGGTAATAGACTAATAGTCCATGTTCACGGCACGCTTTCCCACGGAAATGGGTCCATGGAATTGCGCACGGCACGCGGGATTCCGCCTCTCCTCTACGGATAAAGCTATGGACTATAGCGCGCTTTACACCTGCCTGTCCGCGGTCGCCGTCCTTGTCGATGGCCTACTCAGCGAATCATGTAGCATCTTTGATCGTATGCCGATGGCCCCTGTCGATTTGGCGTGTCTAGGATGCTTAGTCAAGCCTCCGTCCAGCCAGCCAGTTCTCACGATGCTTGGCGCTTCCGTGGCTGCAGTCCTCGTACAGACGAAATTGCACCCAGCTGCGCCCTATTCCACGGATATGCACGCAGCACGCCGCACACAACGGCCATTCAACCAGCGCCAAGACACTGCCTCTTCCCAAAAAATGAAGGGAGCATGTCAGCAACACTTCAACCGTCAGCAATGATCTTCTCAGTTCGTGCAATCATCGAGTTGCTCCGGGGCTGGGACGGCAAAAGTTCCAAATAAACTTACGCTCTACCAACACCAGAGACACCATCATGACAACACCAGCCAACGCCTAATGCGACGGTTTCTCTGTCCAATGCCAGGTGGGAATTGGCGCCAAAGCCAAATCGCAGCTGGCGAACCCAAGCAATGGATCTACGCCAAGGATCCACTGATTAGCGCTCCGGTTCCATTGCTTGGACTTCTTTTTTTGAAATCACCACACCACAGGCGCGGCAGATGCCGACATAGCTTATGCCAGCCGCTATCAAATAGTGTGCACATTCGCCATTTTGGTTGCAATGGAGTGACTGAAGACACCGCGGAGCTGTCTCTCTTCTTTGGGACCATCGCCGGCTCGTCGCCAGGGTCACAATCACAGGGTGGCCGCAACCAAACGGAGCAAGCATTGACGAAGGAGAAACATGAAATCCCCGTCCTGGGAAGTTGGAGCCTGCCTCCTAGGGGGTTTTGCGACAGTTTGGACTGTTTCGTTCCATTGCAACCGAGGCCCACATCGGTAGCAACTGCGAAACCCGCTTCTTCTTGCCCTCCATGGTGAGGTTGTCTGAACGTCAAAACGGTTTCAACAGATGCTCTCAGACCAGCCCACCGTCCATGGGCACGCAAAAGCACGGGATGCCATGGGAATGAGACTTTGATGGACCCCGAACCCGCATACCTCTTGCTTTGCCAAGCCCGTCCGGCAAGACTTGCAACAGAAAAGCAACGTTTCTAACCAAGGAGGTCGAGCCGAATTGTCGCAGATGGCCCGCTCGTTGATGTCATGTTGCCCTCGTGCCTATGTAGGTTTGGAGGAAAGCAGAAAATGGATCGTCGATGCCAGCCCCGACTCACTCAGAATCGTCCCATCGAGCTGATGGTAAGGCTATTCGCACTAGTACCGCCGAAACGTCAGTAGGTAACTCGAGCCCCCTGGGCCAGAGTCAGATCTGAGCTGGTCTGACTGCCCAAAGACACTCCCAGCAGCACCCACTGCCTGGCCGCCTATCAGCAGTATCGCCCAGCAAAGGGCAGCGTGGGCGGTCTTCCGGTCGGCCCGCTAAAGTTCCAAAATAAGCAGTCCCTTCCAGGCGAACTTTCAGTCTTCACAGCGCCCATAGGGCATGCCTGCCATCGCTGCAGCCTGCCACTCTTCCGGCCTAGTCCCTGTAGGGCGCGCCGAAGAGTCTGGACCACAGGGCCTTGACCATGCCAACGCGGAGGGGCGCATGGCACGGGAAGGGGCCCAGAAGATTGGTAACAGCAACAAAAGGGGGACAGACGATGGACAGTGTGACAGCCTACCTGTATCCGTATGGATCTAGGAATCGCCGACGAGCACACGACCACTAAACCGCCAAAGCGATGCAGGATAATGTCGCCATTGACCGGCTATGGGGTGACGGGAATATCCATTCAGCCTTCAGGAACGCAGCATGAGGGTCGATTCCAGTGGACAGCCAATCAGCCAAGGGATTCGCAACGAACAAGCTTTGTGTCGATGCGGGCCTCCCTGCAAAGAAATTCGGGTCCATCTAGGCAGACAGAAATGAGACTGCCCGGCTTCTGGAATTGCTCTTCGTATTCCCCCGGCACAAGGATTTGGCGGGGAACGGTGTTGCCGGTGGTATCCTTTGAGCAAAGGCAGGCGGTGCAGAACATGGCGAGGTGGGACTCCGTAAAGAGGCCCCGTTTCTCTCGGAAATCGGGCACCTGTCGAGCGGATGCTAGTGCACCGCTAGCCTCGTGGTCGGGTCACTACAGTATA